ATTTTCCTGTTTTTTTTTTTTACAAGAAAAGTTAATATCTTTCTAATAGCTTTACATTCTTCAAATTTTTTAAACTTTATTTATTTATTTTTATTTTATGTATGTGAGTGTTTTCCCTGCATGTAAGTGTACCATGTATTCAATGCCTGTGAAGGTCAGAAGAGGGTGTCAGATCCCCTGGAACTGGAGTTACTGATGGTTGTTAGCTGCCATGTGGGTGCTGGGGACCAAACCTGGGTCCTCCGCAAGAGCAACCAATGCTCTTAACCACTGAGCCATGTCTCCAGCTTCACATTCTTAAGCAAAACCTTTTAGGTGGCAGTTTATAAATGGTCTTACGTGTGTTCAAGCACATTTAGTACGAATGTAGCTACTTCTGTCGCTGTATTTCATTCCACAATCTTTTAACTACTAAAGCTAAAACTGTGTCAAAGGTCACATTCTGTAAGAGAAAACAAAATGACTTTCCAAATATGACACATGTGGATTTTAATATTGATCCTTGACCTTAATACTGATCTATGACCTCAAGTAGTTTGCTTCATACACAAACTCTCTAAGCCTCAGTTGTTCTTGTTCGTAAAATGGAACCAAAAGGCATGACCTTGTTGGGTAACTGTCAAGTTTGAACATCATGTATATAAAGGATATTTTGTAGTTTCTGACACAAGGACACTCTTGAAATGGTGACCAAGTTAGGGGGACTAGCCATGTAATCAGATAGTGTCCTATGCTATCTCCATTGAACCTTTGTTAAATACAGAGGGAGAGTTTATCTGGCGAAGTCCACCAGACCTAGAAATCTTATGCTAACTAAATAACCCTCCCCTCAAAAGAGATTTCAGGACCATGAGTTTGGATGAGACATATAGTGCTAAATGATCCAAGGAAATTGAGTGGGTTCAGCATGTGCATAGCCTTTGCTCTCCATTCTCAAAAAGGTTTCCTCTTAATGATTTACCAAGGGTCCAAAATACTCCTGAGATTCTGAGCCAAACATCAGAGCATCCCTTGACTGGCATTCTGCCCTGGTCACACAGGCTTCTTACAGGACAGAAACTGGCCAGAGCCGTCCTTTGGGCTCCTGGTTTCAGTTTGTGGTCTGCTGGCCTCACTGCTTTTTAAACTGATGGCAAGGCAGAAACATTATGGAGAAAGGGCTTGGTGAAGAGAGCTGCTCACCTCATAGAGGCCACGAAGTAGAGTAACAGAATGGGCCAGCATCTAGGTACACCCTTCAAAGACATGCCCCCAGGTAGCCACTTCCTCCTACTAAGCCCAGCCTTCCACAGTTCCAGCACTTCCCAATAGTCTACTCAATTTTTGAATCCATCAGTGGATCAACCATTGATTAGGTCAAAGCCCTCATGGTCTGGTTTTCTCTGAAACACATAATTATAGACAGTGAGAGGTTGTTTTACTAAAGTATCTCTACTAGGTATCTCTTAATCCAGTCAAGTTAAAAATCAAGATTAACTATCAAAGTGTGGCTTCCATTCACAGAGTATAAGAAAAAGAAAGTCTTTCAAAAAAGGAAACTCACTACAACTTTAGCATTTACCTTCCACAGCTTGGAATATAAACTTGAAGACAGAAATTTGCTTTCCTTATTAGTGTCTTACTTATGTAAGCATCATACTATTCAGTATTTCATGAATATAATAGCTAATAGCTGCATATTTCATCAAAATGGCTTGTCATTTATTAATATGGAAATCATGCTAAAATGAACAAATAAGCAGTTAATGCAGATCACCATACATGGCCTCCATTTTGTAAGAACTTTTCCCCTTTGGTTTAAGAATAAGACATTTTGGTGAAATAAAGAAATCTTTGAAAAATTATTTTGGAGTGGTGAAACATTTTCATCTTCCTAGAATGAAATCATGAGAATATTATAACAAACCCCAAGTACCTAGCACACAATTTCTGCAAGTCTTAACATTAAGTAAATGTGTTCATAATTGTATGCATGCTCCATCTTGTTTTGACAGATTGATATCTTTCTAATCCCAGCATCTTGTTTATGTGGTTAGTTCTTTGTTTATCACCCTATTTAATTTTATTATTTTCAGTAGACTTGATTTTTAATAGGGTTATTTTACCTTGGTACATAAAATAATAAGAATACTGTATTTTTTTATTTTTTAGAAGAAGCATTTCATTACAGCTTTAACATACTCAATAACAATTTCCAGAGCAAAGATACATCTCTTTCAAAAGTGG